CCCATGTCTAGCAAAAATCAATGTGATGTGAGTTATGACATGGTTTGCTGTTGTGTTTTTGAGCAATGCAATTTCAGGATAGTGAGAATATAATAATCCAGCACTAATACATATTTTTTCCTGCATTCATGGATAAGTCAATACCCACTTGATACCATGGAGCTACGGGCTCCTCCTTGACCATCATGGGCTCCTTCCTTTGCACTGCTCTGTATTCAGGCACATTGTATAAGCCTTTGCAGCATCTTCCATGTCATTATTTATGTTGGGCCAATGTAGAGGACCCCTTTCTCTCCTTTTGCATTTTTCAATGCCTAGATGTCCCTCGTATTCTGTCTAACATGTCTTCCTTTAGTATTGCGGAAGCAAGTCATGAGCCTTTGAACAAACTGCCGTCCAGTACTGACAGCTTTTCCTTGAACTGAGAGTAGGGGCTAGGTATATGTTTTCCAGGCCAACCAGCACAAATAGCTGTTATCACTTTTTGCAATGTGGTGTCCTGAGCAGTAGCTTTTGCAATTAGTGCCCATGGGACATCCCCTCAAGCCCTGGCCCGCATCTGGACCCATACCTGACTCCTGGTCAGCCGAGGGCTCCTCTCTGGGGACACGAGGTGGCTTGTCCTGGGCCCCTGGGGTGTCCCTCTGTCCTCCCTCCTCCAGAGCCATGTCTGTGCCATGGGCCTTTGGCTGCTGCAGCCAGGACTTAGCAGGTCCCTGCAGTGCCCCGCTGGGCTGCACCTTGTCTGAGGACATCTCCTCCACCATCATGCTCCCTTGACCTGGGGATGAAATCCATGCGTCACTGTAAGCTGGGACAGGGGAGATGGGGTGGGAGGAACATCCTCCAGATGCATGGAGGTGGGGCAGCGGCACAGAGGATCAGGGGAAATGCTCTGCCCTGGGGCTTCTTGCCCACTACTTGCCCCAGCTGACACCCCTGGGCCAGGCCAAGGCCCTGGGACAGGTCTCTACACCGCACCCCCACTCCCAGCTCTGCATCTCCTGGGCCAGGACGGCCAGCAACCGCTCTGGCACCACCTGCTCCGGGACTTGCTTCCTGCTGGGTGCTGGGGCCCAGCCAGTGCTGGCAGAGCTTCTGCCAGCAGAGCCAACCTCCCGCAGCCCCTCCTGGCAGAGGCAGCTCTGGCACCAGGTCTCTGGGGTGCAGAGGTCATCCCCATGGGCCACTGTGTGGTGTCAGGGGCAGCTTCACCTCCTGCCCTTCACCTCTCGAGCTACCTACAACAGCAGGTTGCATTTCAAAGCCTTTCATTGCTACCTGACAAGAAGTTTACAGCTCCTAAGAAAGAGAACAACATGATGTACAAAACTCCAGTGTACGGGGGAATCGGAGGTGCTAGATATCAGCAAAGTGGATCTGAATTTATGAGGTTTGGATGTTTTGCCTCTTCATCTTTAAAGAAAAGAGAAGCTGAGGGTTTTGGTAAGAATGCCTTCTTCACCATCCACACCTGCTATGGAGGTGATGTCAGGAAATTCTCATATTTTGAAGAAGAAGTGCTAATCCCCATGCAGGATATATTCCAGGTGTTCCCGGTCAGTGCTGGGGCAACAGCTTTGCCCTCCGAAGCACAAACTGGACCTGCAGCTATTTTAATGCACCTACCTGGGGAGTGAATACTGGGCTGAACAGTGAGTACTGGGCAGGGGGTCAATGAGGACTATGAAATATCACTAGGACGGGCAGAGACAAACTGACATTCCTGATGGTGAGGGGCCCTGTGACAGAATCAAGCCCAGGGGTGGCCCTGACACCTTTTGATGGCCATGTGGTTCCTGCCTTGTTCAGGTTCCTTCAGTACTTGTCCTTTCTTCTCGCCTGCCATGCCTTCATTGGGGTTATTTGGTTATGAAAAGGTAGGCTGCCCCAAGGTCTCCGAGGGAGCCCTTGTCTTGTTATCCATCAATGGGTCTCTCCCGGTCCCAGGAAACCCCTGTCCTACCCCGCAGGTGCTCAGTGGGACCCTTGCAGCCCATCCGTGCTCTAGGGCACCAGTTGTTTTAGGGGCTTAATTTGTGGCCTCTATCTGTCCCTATAGCCATGCCCTGTCTTGCAGGTGTTACTGGTGTGGGGACATCTTGCCCCCAGTGCCATGTCAGGCTTCTACACCCTTTTCAGGGCCTCAGTCTTCCTGGCTTCAACCTCCTTGTCTTTAGCTGGGCCTGTTAGCCTAAGTCCACTGCACTGGACCTTGGCTTATGAGCTCCAGCTCCTGTCTTGCCCACTCACGGCCTGGATCCCTGGCCCTGGATCCTGCCCCTCTTGGGCTTTGGCCCCTCTCCCTCCTAACTTCAGGCCAGCCCTGTTGCCCAGGGGGTGCCACCATGGACCCCACCATGAGGTGATGGGTGCAGAACCTAAAATCACCCATGAAAATCTCCTTGGCCTGATCAGAAGGTCTTCTGGACCCATAAAATTTGCACTTCCCATCTTTCAAGAGCATCTGACAACTCCCATCCTCCTTCTGTGATACTTATGGACATTATCACATCCCAGGTTCCTCTTAGTACTTGGTTCCTTTTGAATTGACCTTGATCCTGGCCCCCAATTTCTTTGGCTGAAACTACAGACTCTGTAGCACCCTTACTAAGTCAGGAGAACTTGATGAGCATTGCATCTCAGGCAGGCTCCAGTCTGATTTATTCCCAGGATCCAAGGTTCATTCATGACATTGGAGCAGTTCCTAAAGCTGAAGGCCCCTTCCTCAATTCAGCCATAGCCAATGGTAGTGAGGCTGTCCTACGTGCATTAAGACCCCTCGCAAGGCAGTTGAGATTCACTGTGTTGACCAGCCATTGTCAGGGCTCTTGCTAAGCTCGCCTCCCTGGCATGACACTCAAGGTGGTAGCTCAGCAGTGAGCCTCCACTGTTGCTGGCTTAGCCTCAGCAAACAGAGTGAGACTTGTGGAGGCAGGGGCTGCTGTGGGTGGTAGATGTTCATGGACCAGGAGGCAAGCTTGGGAATACGAGGAATCTTCTTCAGGCAGGTGCACCCCTTCAACATGGTGAACCCCGGTCCACCCCTTCCCCATCTTCTTCAGGCAGGTGCCCCCCTTCCGTGGCGAATGCCAGGTCCACCCCTTCTCCATCTTCTTCAAGCAGGTTCACCCCTTCCCATGGTGAATGTCAGGTCTACCCCTTCCCCTTCTTCTTCAGGAAGGTTCACCCCTTCCCCATGGTGAACGCCAGGTCCACCCCTTCCCCATCTTCTTCAGGCAGGTGCACCCCTTCCCCATGGTCAATGACAGGTTCATTCCTTCCCCATCTTCTTCAAACAGGTTCACCCCTTCCCCATCTTTTTCAGGCAGGTGCACCCCTTTCCCATGGTGAACGCCAGGTCCACCCCTCCTTCATCCTCTCCAGGAAGGTGCAACCCTTCCCCATGGTGAACCCCAGGTCCACCCCTTCCCCATCTTCTTCAGGAAGGTTCACCCCTTCCCCATGAAAAAACCCCAGGTCCACCTCTTCCCCACCTTCTTTAGGCAGGTGCACCCCTTCCCCATGGGGAACCTCAGGTCCACCCCTTCCCCATCTTCTTCAGGAAGGTTCACCCCTTCCCCATGAAAAAACCCCAGGTCCACCTCTTCCCCACCTTCTTTAGGCAGGTGCACCCCTTCCCCATGGGGAACCTCAGGTCCACCCCTTCCCCATCTTCTTTAGGCAGGTGCACCTCTTCCCCATGGTGAGGTACGGTTTGGGGTGTATGAGACTTGCAGCCACGAACCTAGGGCCCTGATCTGACCGGCATGACTCTCTGCCCCAGCCTCCCTGAGGAAGCCTCCAGCACTGACCCAGCCTCCACTGACTCCCGGCCACCTCCTATCACCCGACCTTCCACTTCCCATATATAAGATGAGGGAGAGGACTTCTAAGTGTCTGGGCTTCTCCAAATTTTAGGTGATGCTCAGATTCCTTGCTTCGCCTGGTTTCCTCAATCATCTTGCTCGTGACTTCTGCTCTTCTCTTGACCCCAGGCTCCTGATCCACCTTATCCCTGGACGTTGCTTGGCCTTTCTAACTCTGACTTTTACCCTGATCCAGTAAACTTGGTCTTTGATGGGCCCCCCGGGCCTGGCTGCCTATGTCCTGGCACTGGTACATGTAAAGAGGGAGAAGAGTCCCTCTAGGCAGCTTCCTCCAGAATGGCATACTGGGAGCAATGGAGAAAGAGGTCAATCCTAGAAAGGAGACTGGTCTAGATGGAGCCCTAAATGGAGCAACCAGACTGACATTGAAAACCGTGGCTGGGCTGATGGATATGCATTGAAATCCTTTGCTGCTGTTTCAGATGAGAAGAAAAACAGCTGTGATTACAACCTAGGCAGGAATGGGTTTTGTTTTCCATGGTATGAAAGCAGCTAAGAATGGCACCACCCCGAGAAGCTTGCTTGTTTTAGGTGGAGCTTCCTCTGCAGGGCAAAAGCAAGGCCATACGGAAGCTAAATAAATCACTTGTAGTCTTGTGTGCAATTTGATAACCGCGTTCAAAGTTTGCAAAGCAGTGAAAGACTTCTCATTCATCCCGGGATGGAGCGGCCTGTGGTCCAGTGAATCTGTGACCACGATATTGCAGTGAAAGATCTCTCGGTCATGTTGGTGTGTCAGGTTTTGTCTCCCTACCCCACCGCTCTTGCAGCTTCATGTGTCAGGGAGAGTTTTTAAGTCTCCCTCGGGGACACTCTGGATCCCTGTCTAGGAAGATCCATATTGAGATTGCACCACCTTAGCTGACATCAGCTGCTGAATCTGTGCATGGCCGTATTGACCTGGGATTGGAAATGAACTGGTGAAAGACTATCCTATAATCAGTCCTGGGGGATATATGGTCTGCCAGTCCTTCCTGAGTTCATTGCACTGAACTCGTGTGTTAACCATTCACGTGCTCTGCATTTCCGAAGGGAAAATACTATTGCAGGAATGTCCTGAAACCAAATATTCTCTGCTTTTTCATCAACCCTTTACTGAGAATTTGTCTATCTAATTTAGCTACCTGTGTTCGTATACTATCTCCTGTTGTCATCCCCTCAGCTCCCCCTCACACAGGACGGATCTGAACATCAATTGTCTTTGGGGATATGTGAAACCTGTGGAGCACCCAAATTTGTGGGCCCATCACACCGGTGCTACACCAGATCTGGCAGGGAGAAAAGTGGGGGGATTGCTTCTGTACAAGTGAGAGATCAGGAGCAGGGGGTGCTCTTTGCACAGGATGTTCCCCTAATCATAAAGCCAGTCCCGGGACTAATGCTGCTGCAGTGGCTATATTTAATTACAGACAGCAAAGAAGGAGCCTCATCCTTCTCCCATTCGAATCCATGCAGATTTTCCCATTGACTAGAATGGGAGAAGATTGAGGTCAAAAACATTATCCCAAATCATTGTTTGTAACAAACGTGACGAAGGTGTTATGCAGGTTCGAGGACTCGCTGATCATTGTTGCCGGTTGACTGATATCTCCTGTCTTTCCCGATGCAGGTAAAACATCTTCGTGGTGCTTCCTCTCGGGTATCAGCACATCCCCAGGTACAAGCATTTTTACCCAAAAGCACCTGAGATGCAGCAACTGAGAAAGAAAGACAGAACAATCACAGTGTGCAGCCCAAAGGAACAGATAGATACTAATCCCCCCACCGCTTTTTAAAAACTTGGTAACGAATATGCTACAGTGAAGACTGATGAGAGCCAGTGAGAAATAGCGCGGGTTAGATCCCGGGTGGAAGTGGGGAAGATGAGGCACAGGAGGTGGCTTGATGTCCCTGAGCTCAGATCGCAGTTTCGTAACAGAGTCAGGCAAGTTTGGTCACAAATGGCACCCTACATTCGGACCAGGACACCTGTGAATGTCGAATGCTGAGGTGCGGGGAGCAGATGCACAATGCAAAGTGAACGGACTTTGCTTCTTAGGGAAAGTGAAGCGGATACACAACACACAGCCTTACCTGGACACCCGTCTCTTTTTGTTTTGTTTTGGGAGATTGCATTACCCTGCAAAAAGCTCTACCCTGCTTTACCCTGCATGGGTTACTACAGAGCACGTGATGTGCGTCTCAGCCTGGGATAGCTATTTACTCAATGCAAAGTTGCTCTCTGGCACTGGATGGGGAGGCACAGTATGGCAGGGTGTGCAGGCAGGGGCCTCTGGGAGCTGCTCAGACATCTCTCCTTACTGTTCCTAGAATCAGAGAAATGAGGGAGGAAGGGAGCTCAGGAGGTCACATCTAGTCCAACCCCCTGCTCCAAGTAGGACCAGCTCCAACTACATCATCCCAGCCAAGGCTTTGTCTAGCTGGGTCTTCAAAACCTCTGCGGATGGGGACTCCCCCACCTCTCTGGGGAGCCTGTTCCAACACTTTGCTACTCTCCTAGTGAGAAATATTTTCCTAATATCCAACCTCAACTTGCCTTGCTGCAGCTTGAGCCCATTGCTCCTTGTCCTGTCATCTGCCCCCGCTGAGAACAGTCCAGCTCCATCCCCTTTGGAGTCACTCTTCAGGTAATTAAAGGCTGCTATTAACCTCCTCCGCCCCAGTTTTCTCTTCTGCAGTCTTCTGTTCCTATCTGCCTGCCTCAGCAATCCTCTATTTTGGGGTAACATCCAGGGTATATTATCCAGTAGTAATCATGTTGTATGTCCACCCTTGAGCCTTCCAGCAGAAAAGTACATAATGCTCTGACCAGTTATCCTTTCTCCCCTGAATGCCCAGCCCTTGCAACACTCAGCCTGACATATTTTACACCCTGGGACCCATTGTCTCCATGAGCTGCACTTGCACCATGAATATAAAGAGAGCTCAACCTGCTCCATTTGATGACTGTTGGCTATACCCTCTGGACTATTCAGGTGTCATTTTGCATGGAGGGGATGTGAGGGCTGAGCTTTCCTCTGAGCATTTCAGGTTTCTCCGTTGTGTGGGAGGCTCACAACATGCTGGATTAAGACACAAGAATGGTATTAATGGGGACATACACAAGACCTTCTGCACAGTCCTTGGGTCCCACCGAATTTTCCTGAGGGTAACACACAGCGCGGCAGTAGCCCCGGTAGTTCGCGCAGCCCCAATTTCCAGCACCGGCACCCGGACCTGCAAAACCACAAAGTGGACTTTAAGCCTCTCCTTGGAGCCTGCCCCAAGCTGCAAGTCTCTTTGCATCGTCGATCTACTGCTGTCGACCCCAACCCGAGCTATGACCCAGGGTTGCCCTCTTGCCCTCGCTCTCGTTAGGGAGCTGCACTGATGAGGCGTGACACATTAAGGCTGGATGCAGCCCCTGCCTCCCACCCTGCTCTGGCCCATGGCAGCTTGCTGAAACTCCTAATGTGGCTCTCCAGCCCAAATAATTGCCCACCCCTGCTCTATCTACAGTCTGTATCAGAGATGGGGGAGGAAGGCCAAATTGCAGACCGAATGCAGACAGCACCACCCCACACTCCTCAGCAGGTTTTCATCCACAGGCATGTGTGCACGTGTGGCAAGAAAGGGCTCCTTTCCTTTAACAAGCTGTTACAAAAGGAGGGCCACACTGCTTTAAAGCTCAATAAGGAATGTATATTAAAGGCTACCTAAAGGAGTCATTCTTCTCATGCTAAATTTATCACTGGCATGGAGAGGAAGAAGTTTGCACACCCCAAGAGCGCAGTGAGAAATGCACACCATTGTGTGCTCGCCCTTGTAGATGGAGCAAATATGTAGGTTTTAAAAATTCTGGGTAGTGACCAACCAAGCCCTTGACAATATGGCAAGGAAGCTGCTTTTCTGAGTATACATTAAGAAATGATTTGGGGATATTCTCTGAAGCTGCCCAGCAAGGCTGATCTCGTGACCAAGCTTCATTGTAATCCTTTGCCCTGCGGATGTGAGACTCGCTACCCTCTTAACGCAGAAGCCCTAAGGAACGGCAGAGCACTATGTCCATTTTGCAGATGAAGAAGATAAGGCCCAGAAAGTGATGTTATTTGCTGTGGGTGACAAGCAGGCCCAGAGTCGAACCCAGCTGTCCTGTCTCCCAAACATTAGATCAGCTTCTCCCAAGCATCACCTATTATTAACGTGGCCGCGAGGTACTTACAGCTGCTCATAGCCAGAGCCACCAGCACCAGCAGAAGCAAACCCCGGGGACTCACGGTGATGACCATTTTCCAGGCACCTTCCTGTAGATGAACAGAATAGCCGGTATCCCTGGAAGCTCGTTATATAGAGTCGCTAGGAAGCCTGGCACAAGGGAGCGGTTTGGATCCGGTGCGGTGTCATCAAAGGTCTAATTACTTGTATGTGACATAGGGACTTCCTGAGCCATCTCAGCATCGGAGCAGGCTGAAGGAAGGGCCAGGAGGGGAGGCCCCCCATTTCAAAGCTCATTTACTAAATCTGCCCAGACCTGATCTGATTATTGGTATTGAAACATCTCCTTGTTGTGCGCCTTATCATGAGATACCACTTAGGGGCTGCTGAAAAGATCTGCTGTGCAGAAGGAAATGAGATCCGCCTGATCGAAGGACAAGGGTTTCGGTTACAAAACGGCGTTCACATGATAAAGGCTCCAAGGCAGACACCGGCCTGATGCTCCTTTACACTCATGCCAGGGTAAATCAGGGGTCAGTACATGGGAGCAACTAGAGAGGGTGACGGAGGTCTCGGCTTCTCTGTTGCCCTCGGCGGGTTGCCTCTGCCCCACGGCTGCAGACCCCACGTGGCAGACTCCCTCGACCTCCGTTCACACCAGCGGGCTGCAGGCGCTCGCGCAGGTACACGGAGGCACGCGCAGGCACGTGCACGCTCCGGCTCTCCTGCTTATATCTCCTGCCACCTGCTTTTAGAAAGAGCCCAAGTGCTCAGGCCAGGGACCCTCCCAGCACCATCCAGAGGGCAATTAGCTTTTAACCCTTTCCCCATCTGAACAACACCCATTAAACCCTGCCGCTTTCAACAGATAAGAGCAAACAGTACAACCCCATAACATCACAGAGAGGCAAGGGTTTCTTAGAGAGATCTCTTTAATGCATCAATGTGGGGATAGAGTTAGACAAGCTTTCAAGTACAAGACATTTTTCATCAGGTCTGCTGAAAATGCAGACTTTTCCCCATGCAACCAGCACAAGATGTGAATCAGGTCCATGGCTTTCCCTCTTAACAAAAGCAAATGAGCAACAGCTGGACACAGTTTGAGGAGTTACTGAGGGCATGTCTACACATGTGCTTTAATATGCACCGGCCTACTTTAATGCGCATTAAACTGTCACCAAAGACATGCTCTCACTAAAATAGGCTAATGCACCTTTTTTCTAGTACTTCACAATGGAGGTACGAGATTTAATGCGCATTACCTAAAGCACATTCATGAACGTGGAGACGCGCCCTAGTCCTTGCAAGGCACAGAATCAGAACAGACGTCTGTTTTGAGCGTGCTCTCGTCGTTTCTGGGGTGGGAAAGTGATTTCAGAATAGCTCCCTTTGTGGACATGCTCTGAAATAAAAATCTCTTTGTGGTCCAGAGTAATTCGCTGGTTTATTACGACAGCTGATGCTTTTACTCTGGAACCACATGATTTTTATTCTGGGATCGAGTGCCCAAGCAGGGACCTATAGCTAATGAAGAATGGCTTATTCCTCAGCAGCTATGCCAGTCGGCGTCCCTGCGTAGCCCTTCATGACGACCTGCAAAAAGTGAAGGGCCGTGTGTGACTGCCACTTTATTCTGCCACTGGACTCGCGGCGTGGGGTGCCGCTCACCCTGAGATGTCCCCTTGTGCGCATCTGATTACTGGACCATATTTTTCTAGGTGAAGTGTAATGTCATTTCCCTGAAAAATACTGTCCTTAGCCCTTGGGAGTCTCAGGGACCAAAGTCCCACGCTGTGCCAAGTGGCGCCTTCTTTTGTACGCAAGGATTTTGTCAAATGGCAGAAAGAAAACCGGCAAGGAATTTGAGTCAGCAATAGATGAGGAGCGAGGTGGAATCGGCTATGAGCTCAAGATACGAGCATTGCTTTAAACATCTGTCTGCAGCAAGAAAAGTAACGAAAAGAAGCATGAACAACTAGGAAGCCACGATGGGCTTGTAAAAATAACTGCAGTGGACTCTGCTTACTGGCATATTGGATAAGCAGATTGTTTCCTTCCCAGCACAACACCTCGTCATTCCTGTTCCCTATGGCTGACACCACAGGGCTTCTCAATGCTGGTAGTGCCGAGGCCCGACTCATCGGGCTCGAGGCCCCCTCGGAGAATGCCAGCTCTTCGTTCACACTCTTTTTTTGTCTACAGAAAAAATACGGGGGTGATTTTTCTGTTGCAAAGAACTCAGCAAAGCTCACGACAGCTCAGTGTGTTTTTAGCGCCATTTGAAATCCCTGGGTTCAGCCTGTGAATTGTGTTTGCACACCTACCGGTGCTAATGCGGTGTGGCACCCCTGGCAGGATCTCCAGGCACCCTGGTTGAGAATCACTGGCTTGCACTGTAATGGACACTGGTTACCAACATTGGGGTTAAGTCAGGGGTGGGCAAAATGTGTCCTGTGGGCCGCATGCGGCTTGCCAGGCCATTCTATCTGGCCCGCGGGGCCCCTAAAAAGTTTAGAAAATTAATATTTATCTGCCCCTAGTTACCTGTCATGCAGCCCTCGATGGTTTCCCAAGACTCAGTAAGTGCCCCTCCACCCGAAATAATTGCCCGTCCCTGGGTTAAGTGCATACACCACTGACCTGCACAGGAAACCCTGGACCCCGCTGTCTTGTAATGTAATTGTACCTCATTGCAGCATACAACTGCAACTGATTAAGGATAACAAAAAGTCCTTTTTCAAATATATTGGGAGGATGAAGAAGGCGCCGGGTAATGTGGGGCCCCTGCAGGATATGCGGGGCAATCTGGTGGTTGCGTCAGAGGATAAAGCGGACCTCTTTAACCAATTCTTCACCTCCGTTTTCTTGTGCAGGGAACGGGACTTCCCTGCTGTGATAGAAGCCGGACGCGAGGGGATCGCCTTCAGACCTCAGGTTGGGGAGGACCGGGTTAGAGAGCTTCTGGAGGGGCTGGACGCGTTCAAGTCAGCGGGTCCGGATGCTCTCCACCCCAGGGTGCTGAGGGAGCTGGCTGGGGTTATTGCAGGGCCCCTGGCACGGCTCTACGAGCGATCGTGGTGCTTGGGCCAGGTGCCAGACGATTGGAAGGTAGCTAATGTGGTCCCCATCTTCAAAAAAGGGAAAAGGGAGGACCCGGGCAATTATAGGCCCGTCAGTCTTACCTCAATCCTGGGGAAGCTCTTTGAGAAGATCATCAAGGAGCACATTTGTGATGGGCCGGCATCCGAGATGATGCTCAGGGGCAATCAGCATGGATTTATTAGGGGGAGATCATGTCAGACCAACCTGATTGCCTTTTATGATCAGGTCACAAAGGCCATGGATGCAGGTGTCGCGGTGGATGTAGTCTTTCTGGACTTCAGCAAGGCCTTTGACACCGTCTCTCACCCCATCCTAATTAATAAACTAGGCGACTGTGGCATAGACGCCTACACGGTCAGATGGATTGCAGATTGGCTGAAGGGTCGCACTCAGAGGGTGGTGGTGGATGGATCATATTCGACTTGGGGGGAGGTGGGTAGTGGAGTCCCTCAGGGCTCGGTCCTGGGCCCTGCGCTGTTCAATGTCTTCATCAGCGATCTTGATGTTGGGGTGGAGAGCAACCTGTTTAAATTCGCTGATGACACCAAAATTTGGGGGGAGGTGAGCACGCTAGCAGGGAGAGAGAGATTGCAGAAGGATCTGGATAGGTTACAGGGGTGGGCAGACAGGAACAGGATGCGTTTCAATACGGACAAGTGCAGGGTGCTGCACTTGGGTAGTAGGAACCAGCAGCACACTTATACGATGGGGAACTCCCTACTTGAGAGCACGGAGGCGGAAAGGGATCTTGGTGTCATTATTGACTCCAAGATGAACATGGGCCGACAATGCGAGGTCATGGTTGGCAGGGCTAACCGGACCTTGTCGTGCATCCACAGGTGCATCTCGAGTAGAGCCAGGGAGGTGATCCTCCCCCTCTATGCGACGCTGGTCAGGCCGCAGCTGGAGTATTGTGTCCAGTTCTGTGCGCCCCATTTCAGGAGGGATGTGGACAACATGGAGAGGGTCCAGAGGAGGGCCACCCGCATGATCCGGGGACAACAGGGCAGACCCTACAGTGAGAGACTGCGGGACTTGAACCTATTCAGCCTCCACAAGAGAAGGCTGAGGGGGGACCTGGTGACCGTCTATAAACTCACTAGGGGGAACCAGAAGGGTTTGGGGGAGACGCTGTTTCCCCTAGCCCCCGCTGGCATAACAAGGAGTAATGGGCACAAGTTGATGGAGAGGAGGTACAGATTGGACATCCGAAAAAACTACTTCACAGTTAGGGCGGCTAGGAGCTGGAACCAACTTCCAAGGGAGGTGGTGCTGGCCCCTACCCTGGGGGTCTTTAAGAAGATGCTGGATACTTACCTGGCTGGACTCATTTGAGTCCCGTTTTTTGTTTTTAGGGGGTTTTGTTGTTCTCCCGCCCTGGCGGGGGGGCGGGCTAGAAGATCTATTAGGTCCCTTCCGACCCTAAAACTATGAAACTATGAAACTATGAAACTGGTGAGGCTGGCTAGGAGCGGACAACGCAAGGTTTCTAAAGCAGCCCTGTCAACTGCACAGCTGCTAATTAGAGGCATAAGGTGCACTAAGAAACTAGATACAGGCTCAATGCTCAGGCTGCTCCTGCACTTCGTGAATGCCCTTTATGTTGAGTTGGGTACACTGCATGCTCAGAGTAAGCACGTGGCCTTGCTTTCCATCCTGTGGTTATGCAGTTAAATGAGTGCATGGTATTGATTGACCACCTCAAATAGTTGGAAAAAATTCTTCTTTGCAAGCTTTCAGGCACAAACACCCTTCCTCAGCCTGACGAAGGGTGTTTGTAAGCTTGCAAAGAAGATTTTTTTTTCCAACTATTTGAGTTGGTTTAATAGAAGATATCAGATTTACCCAAAGCACCTTGTCTGCCTGCCTTTAGACCAAGACGGCTACAAGCTATACCCTGGCAGTGATTGAGACATCAGGAAAATATGGGACAGTGCAAACCTCTACCACCCAAACGGATTGTGCTGCCGATCCTTGCTTATATGTTTCCTGCCATATGTCTCCAAAGGCCAGACAGAGTCCCCATGTTTGCTGCCTTGATGGTCGATGTGGCAGGAGATATACAGCACAGATGAGGACCTGTGCTAGCTGGTGGGTTCAGAGGGACAAG